TCCAAGCTAAATGTTTATTTTGAAAACTAAACATTTAATTTCCAAACGAAATATTTAATTTCTAAGCTAATTATTTAATTTGATAACTAAATATTTAACTTTCACTTAAATATTTAACTTGCAAGCTAAATCACCTAAATATTTAACTTGCAAGCTAAATCACCTAAATATTTAACTTGCAAGCTAAATCTTTAGTTAGCAAATTAAATATTTAGTTTGAAACTATGACATTTATAAATGTATGAATAACATGGTGAAAATGTGACTTTGAGAAAAAAAGTATATTTTTTTCTTATTAAAGGCTAAATAAACCAAAATATTGCTGTTAATTTTTGACTGTGTAACTTTACAAATGGCACCCCACATTTGCACAGTGTCAAATTCCAGGGAATAAAATTGAGTTTTCAAACGAGACCTAAAAACGGTGAGGGAGGGGGCCTGCCTGACATGCAGTGGTAACTCATTCCACAGTTTTGGACCTGCAGAAGGAAGGCCGTGTCTCCTCTGAGCTTAGTGCCTGGAACCAATAACAGCATCTGGTCTGCTGACCTCAGAGAGCGCTGTGGGACATATGGCTGCAGCAGATCAGTGAGATAAGAGGGGGCAGAACTGGTTTTAAATTCCTTGGTGCAGGTCAGCAGACCAGTATGGGATTAAGGGTAAAAACAGTGAAGAAGAACTTGCTGCTGTTATAATCTGGTATTATTTCTCCTTCATCTGTAAACTGCACTCTAAATGCGAACGAGGTTAAAAACAAGCTGGTTTGTAACACGGTGCTGGGTCCAGTTTGGACCGAACGAGCTGAGTCGTACCAAAGATTTGCTGTTTTACACGGGATGGTCTTCCTGACAGAACCTGCAGCCTCAGGAGAACAAACTGCAGCCCTGACCACCGAGCGGTCCAGTAAAACCATCATCTCACTTGAACATCCACAAACAGAAGAGCCGTCCGGTCCGACCCGAACACGCTGCAGCACACCTTAAAATCCAGATTCATTTCTGAGAAACAAGTCAGGGCTTCCAGCTCAGAGCGTCACGTCCCACAGTCGGGTCCTGGCACCAGTTTTGGGGACCAGTGTTTTTAAACCACACTGCCCAACCTCAGCAGCCCCCACCTCCAGTTAGAACCAGCCAGCAGTTGACCCCCAGGCGTAGCGTTCATTCCAGCTCCCGCACAAAGACAGGATTTAGAGCTGGGGGACCAGACGGTGAGGGGGGACGGACTGGGTGAGGCAGACAGGAGGGAGAAAAGGGGGGGGTTTATTTTTCAGCTCATGACTTTTGTTTGAGAGTAAACAGAGGAGATCACAAACATAACTGGGTGTGTTTGTGATCTAGTGATGAGTAAGGAGGGGTGAGGTGTGTGGGGGCAGTGGGGTGGAGGGGGTCACACCAAGCCAACGTTATGCCCTTGTCAGCGCTTAAACAGGCCAGGAAACCGGAGCATGTTGTGGGTTTGAGCATGTGTGGAGCCGGTGGTGGTGTTGGGGGGTTCCTGACCGTGTTTATACTACACTACGAGGACGGTTCCTGGGGGTCCCTGCAGTCAGACCCGTGAGGCCGGGACCACCAGATGTCACTGTGGGGCAGTGGGCTGCATTATCTTCACATCAGTGCCACTGCATTGTTCTCTGTTTGTTAAATACAGTTTCTAATGTTATCCTGAGGTTCAGGCAGAACCCCCACACCGTCAACAGTTCTTGGATGTCGCTCGGCGTCTTCCAGCCTCAGAAGACGGCTCAGTCAGAGACACAGGAGGAGGAGCTTCATCACTGGGGGGAGCTCAGAGTAGAGCCGCTGCTCCTCCGCATCAAAAGGTCGTGGTCTTTATTGTCATTCGCATCACGTGTGGTGGAACGAAATTATGTGCACAGGGTCCCAGTTACATCCAACAAAAGTATTCAAATGTAAAGGAAAACAGTGATAAGATCTAAGATACGAACTAAGAATACATTAAACACTTAATAGTACAAAACA